ATCCATGCTGGGATAAGTAATCCCCCCTTCCTTCTTATTCATCGCAGTTAGGCTGTTCCCAGCATAAGGGGTGAGGGTTTCCTAGAACACTTGTCAGTCCTTTCCTGCACACCTTCCACATCCTATCCAGCATGCAAGGACCAAGCCTTCGGCAGGATGCCACTACTGCTCCTCTCATCTGAAAACCCTGCTGGGCACACTGAGCCTGAGAGACAGGACTGAGACTTTTATAAGGTGTGGGGCAATGCCCACTTGCTGCCCTGCTCACAGATCCACAGCTCCACACCTCCTCCAGCACCTGTGGAGCTCCACAGTCAGCAGGACCCAAATGCCTTTGTCATCACTCTGAACAATCTTAAGCATCACCTGGGAACTTACTAATGGGCACAAACTCTTACAGGTGTTTTGGGGTCCTACCTGGGTCAACTATGTGGACATGAGAAGATATGGGTCCAAAGCAAGCAAGCGAGGACCTCACACCTCACATCTCAGCAGGGCAGTCCATGTTCTGGAGGGAGGACACAGTCTCCTGCCTCTCAGAGTGAAGCTCTAGCTCTGGCCCTCTGGGTAGTCCTTTCCCAGACCAGACCAGCAATAAGACTGAGCCCTTTAGACGCAGAGAGGGGAGTTCAGAAAAGATGCAAGAGAAGCCTGGGCCGGCCCGAGGTGGGTCACATGTGGGAAGCACTTGTACCCTCAGAGCTGAGCCAGTCCTCGTGAACACAAGCAGGCTGAGTCTGGCGGCGCTGGTGTCCCACGGCCCAACCTAGCGAGATGAGGGATGAAGATGTGGTAAAAATGGGGCAGAGTCGGGCCTCGTCTAACTTCAGGGGGAAAGGAGAATCAAGATCAGCATCAGCCCAAAGTGACTACTATGAGGTGGAGGTCAGACATACCTTGACTCTCTAACCTTTTTACCAATTCTGACACCAGCCGTCCCTCCCATAGCACTCTCTACTTCTTTGCTGGGTTCAATAATTTGTTGCAACGGCCACACGAAGCTCACAGATGGTATTCCAGGGCTTTAAACCAGTTCAGTCATAGCTGATGAAGCGAAACAGGAACAGACCCAAAGTTTTACAATTTGGCAGATTTGGTATGGTACCCGTAACAAGAAAAGATACGGGTCGAAGCCCTGGAATGGCAGGCTCAGAAGAGGTGTAGCGAGCAATTTGAGGAGCCTGATGCGTGAGACTAGATTATTGGCAGGACTGTAGGAGAGCAACATACGTTCAAAGTGGCATGGTCACCCACCACCTTTGACCAGGTAACGCTGCTTTGGCCTGTGCTCAAAATCTAAGGGCAAGAGATTTGGTTGCTATGCAACGCGTACACTGCCCTTATTCTTTAAGAGGGAAATTTACTAGCAGGGCTTCGACCCGTAATTTTTCCCATTCCAGCTATCTTTCCAGTCCACCATAACTTTAAAAATTCAGGTCTGTTCCAGTGATACTTCCTCGGCCATGAGCTGTAACACTTGCCGAAGCAGCACAGAGGACACACCGAGGGCCAAGGGCTGAAAGAGCGGCCTGTCTGTGGGCACGGCCAAGAAGACACTTTCCTGATGGAAGAACTGTACCCTGAGTCATTTCTGTTACTTCTAAGTTATCCTGATCCTGAATTATAACTGTCATTTCCCTAATAAACCCTATAATCATGAATATGGCAGGGCTTCAAACTGGTTCTGCCCTGTTCAGTCATGGCCTCTACCCTGCTTCAGCAAGTGTTACAAAGCTCTTTAGCCAGCCAGCCTCCTGCCCAAAGGCGCTCGGGTCTCTCACTCTGTGGGTCAGCAAACCTAGTCTGCAGGTCCCATGCCATCTTCAGTGTTACAGCTATCTACTGTCTCCAAAGGACATGCTCCAGGACACGCTCCACACCCAGCTCTTCTTCTTTTTTTTATATTTTCTTATTGTAGTTTAGGTAAAGGTTTACAGAACAAATAGTTTCTCATTAAACAGTCTGTACACATATTGTTTTATGACACTGGTTAACAACCCCAAGACATGTCAACATTCTCCCTTCTCAATCTTGGAGGACCTTTTCTTTTGTGAAAATATACATAAGCCAAAGATACACCATTTCAGAAATTTCTACATGTACAATTCAGTGACATTGATTACATTCTTCCAGTTGTGCTGCTATTCTCACTA